TGTATATTAATTTGTATATTATGTATGAATTTGTTCGTTAGGTTATGGCATTTAATTTTTAAAACCAGACTTCTAAATTAAAATTGCTCCAAATATTACTATACATCATTATTATTACTATTCTATTATTATTGTTATTACCATTACTACTGTTAATTTATTTAACACTTGATTTTTTTTCGATTTTTTCGATTAAATCGATTATAAAATTTTGTCGATCACTTTTAATCGATTGTGGGACACGTAATCGATTAACATCCCTATCATCATCAATAATAACATTTGTCATCATCATGAAAGATGAATTTCATATTAATTATTTCATGTAGTAATTTTACATATTTAAAGAAACAGAAAAGACAACAAATGAGAACATCATAAAACTGACCATGATGATTAAATTCTAATCCCAAGTCCTTGATAATACCAATGTTCACTTTGTCTGGTTTTGTTGCAGCATGCCCCATATATGGTGGGATAAAAATAAGTCAAATAACTTATTTTATATAATAGTATAATTTGACATGGTTAACAATCGAGGGATTTTAAATAAATAAATTAACAGTAATGTCTTGTGCAATTTGGAAAATATCAGTCTGTTCAGCCTCCCTGCTGCTGATGTAATAGTAGTTGGAGGACTGGTTGATACTCTTGCAGCAATTTAAATAAATGTTATGGTATCATAAAATGAAGATAATGTTTATAGATTTCCTTTAGTGATATATGATCCACAATAATCATCATACCAAATATGTTCAGATATTAGAATTTCCAAGGATGAAATTAATGTTGCTCATAAATCAATCAATTTGGCATTTCAAAGAAAAGGATTGATTGAATGCATTGACTAAATTGGATTAGATTTTGATAAAAAGGTTTCAAGGGTGGATTCCAATGAAAGATGTGATGATGATTCATGTAACATAATATACATTTTTATATTTATTCATCAAGAAACTTATAATAATAATAATGATGATGATAATAATAATAATAATAATAATAAATTTATAAATATTCTAGCTTTTTTTTTGTTTTTGATCCTCAGTTGTTGACTTATAATTGCCAGCAGCAAGACATAAATTTCTTCTTGTAAATTTAATTTCATAAACTGGTGTATTTTTAGAATATAGTGTAGTTAATAAATCCCTATAATAAAATATTAAATATTATTAATCTTGAGATTCATTCCACAATTATTATATATAAATATAAAAAGATGCTTGTTATTATTATTACCTTGATGGTTTTACATTGGTTACTTTAGATTTTCTATTCAGTAAAGAGATATCCTCAGCATTATTTTTTGGTTTGCTTGCTGTTGTTGGTGATGATAATGAATGATCACCATCAACAGAATCACCTGAAATACCTTTTTGAACATCCCAGATACGAACAGTTTTATCTGCACTACCAGAAACTAAAATACTACCTTCCTTACTAAAATCTAAAGAATAAACAGTTTCTGTATGACCAATTAATTTTTTAAAACATTTCCCACTTGCAATATCCCATAAAATTACTGATTTATCATCACCTATATTCAAATAATTGGTAAGATTGATTAATTGATTTGATTTAGTTTTATTACTGATAATTGAATAGACTATTTATTATGTTACCAGAAGAAGCTAACAATTGACCATCATCAGATACAGCTAAACATGTAATTCCTCCAGTATGGCCAGAAAAAATTCTAATACAAGATCCACTACTAATGTCCCACATACGAATTGATTTATCATTAGATCCTGTGAAGATGTATTTTGAGTTTGGATGAAATTTAACAGTCTTTCAAAATAAAAAAAAATATAATTAATAAAACTTTTCAAGAATATTATTATCAATATCATCATTGTCATTATTATTATTATTATTTTCTCTATTTACATCTACATCTGATATATGTCCAGCAAAAATCCTTAAAGCATAAATATGATCACAACTCCAAAGTCTAGCAGTTCTATCATTAGATGCAGTAACAAAGTAAAATCCAAAAGGACTAAACTGTATATCCCAAATAGGTAAGTTATGACCTCTATAACACACAAGATTTGTATAAAGATCTGTACTCCAAAGTCGAGCTTCATCAACATTTAATGATTATAAATAAGTATTCTTTTTGATTGATTGAAAAAATTGCTCATTATTATATATTCAAAATAATTTACCTGTGCTATCTTCTGAACAACTAAGTAAATGTTTATTATCTGGACTAAAACTTAATCCAAATATAGGACCAGAATGCCCACAAAGTTTCTTACAATCACCTCCTTTAACATTTCCAAGATCATCTGCTTTATTATTATAAAAATGAATATTACCAGTTATAAAATAAATCCACATATTTAATGGTTTTAAAAATCGATCTAATTAATTGATTGATTGATTGATTGATTGATTAAATACTTGAATTATTCATTCCAGATGCATTAACATTATCTTGAAGTACTCTTGATTTTTCGCTTTTTAAACTCCATATATTGATATAAGACTCTGAAAAACCTCCAGCTATAAGAGTTGCATCGTCAGATATGGACAAACAATTAAGACTAATTGAAAAAAAAATTTTTTAAAGTTTAAATATCTTGGAAGAGAATTTTCATGCATAGAAAAATGCTTTAACAAAACATTATTCATTAATTCATACCTATTGCATGTATTATAAAATGTATAAAAACATACAGAAGGAAGACTTGCAGGGCCTAAATTTATTCGTTGTGTCAAATCTTTCACAAGGTCAACTTGTGCTTGTAGATCAGCTCCATTGCTGAATGTCTTCGTGTCAGAATATTATTTATATATAAGGTGATGATAAATTTCATGCAATCAAATTATTTAAAACATACTATGATGGTAAAGGAACCAATGATATAGGTGGTGAATCAATAGTTTGCTCTCTTTTAATTTTTTTATTCAAAGATTCTTGATGTAGTGAAGGTGTAGAGTTTATAATACCATTCATCTGATTAGTAATATGGAACAGGAGACATATAAAGTTATATATATATACAATTATATAATATACCTTCTTATTACTATACTATTACTATTACATTATTGTTCATACCTCATTTCCAATTTGAGCTCTTGAATGTTCATTTTCTCCCTTTAATCTTTTTTCAACTTCGTCACGAAATGCTGGTTCCATTGGCATGAATCCTGATTGAAGTTCCAGTTCTAATTCTTGTGATGAAGTTCCAATGTCTGTATATGATGAGCCGACATCTTCTTCCGTTACTGAAATAAATAAATAAAAAAATATTTTTTACATATTTGTCTCTTAAAATCAGCGATTGATTAACCAATCAATCAATTACCTTCAACATTAATGTATTGATTTACCATTGTTAATAACAAAGTATTATTGTCTTGTAAGAAACGAATTAATATCTCATATGAAGTTCTAGACATTGAAACAGTATATTTCTTTGAACGAAAGTTTTGAACAAATTCATCTTCTTGAATATGTTGTGGTTGTGTTATAAATTTCATCTTGTTTATTTCATTCAAATGTATTTCATGATCCAGTTGATAAATATTGAAAAATTCCGTTGCTAATATGTATTCAATCGATTAAAAAGGTATGCTTGTGCTGGAAAATATAATATATTCAAAAACAAAAATATTTGCAATCAGTTTGATGGACAAACCTTGATTTAAAAAACCTTTTGAAACAAGATCAAGATAAAAATTTACAAATAGGGGCCAAAGGACTCTTTGTCGTTCATCCTAACAGGAACAAATAAAAAGTTGTATATAAATGTATATGTATCTATTAGCCTGTGACATTTTAAATAAATAAATAATACTCTAAAAAAACCTTGAATTTACTCTCAGAATTTTCAATGAAAATTCTTAATTTTTTATATTGTTCTTTATAAGTGTCTGGATTGGTGGTTACGGAACCAGGAAAAGTTCTAATATGGTTTACTTGCATCATTTTTAAGAACTTTAAATAGAACTTTAAGTAATGTACGAATCGCGTGTTGATATTAAAAGTGTCGGATTTTTATTAATAATAATAATTAACATAGTAATAGTGTGCATATTATCATTGGTCAATTTTCTTTTATTTGGATAAATTATTTACAATATTAAACAAGTACAATGTTTATTGAATAAAATTACATCCAATGCGTTTTTCTTCCTAATCACTCTTATTACTATTAAGAGGAGGGTCAGTTTCAGCGTTGACAACACTTTTAGCAACTTTTTTTGCTTTGCTAATGCCATGATCAATATCATTTTCATATGACAAAAGAACTGGTCTAAAGAATTTACTATAAAGAACTTGAGCTCCTTTGAAACTTGGAAGGAAAAGCCTGCGTATAATGAAGAGTGTATAAGATAAATATGAGAATGTGGATATGGAAGAAAAAATCAATTATAAAATTAAAAAATTTATTTACCAGAGGAAAAAAATTGTTTTGAAAAAGAAATAGAAAGGAACCCAATGGAGAATGAGATCAGAAAAGAATTCAATCATATTAACAAATCCAAATACACTCCTAAGCGAACGATATAATTAAAAAAAAAAAAGAAAGTTTAGTAAAATTTCTTACCAAGTATTTGTATTTCTTATAGAGCGTATATATATAATATGTGTAACTTACCAATAAGTTAACCATTGAGTATCGTCGGTTTTCTCTGCACTTTCAACGGCTTTGAAAGAAGCATAAGCTATGACCAAGAGAAGAAGAAAAAAAGCTTTTTTGAATAAAGTTTTTAAAATTTGAGAAGTTAAAGGAACAAATAATAATTAATTACCAGGATAAAGCCATCCGATGAGGTTAGAGAGTAATTCCCCCCAAAAATTGAAAAATATCAAAATAGATACAATGCTTAAAACGCCAGCTGCAAGGTAAGTTTTTGGAACTCCAGTTGTTTGTTCCAACTTATTTACTTGTGGATATTTTGCTAATTCTTTGTCGGCTAGGGAATTATAATATCTGAGTTTTTCTTTGAGAGAATCCATTTTTTTTATTCGTTTTTTTTAAAAATAAAGTAAAAATGAATTGTTGGAAAACAAGATGATGGTATTTTTTTCCCAAAGTTAAAATATGCAAATCATTGATCTTTATGACTTGGTGACACATTTAAATAATTAATACGAATCGGGGGAGAGCATGAGATAAATCTTGAAATAGATATATTATAAACTAGTTGGTTAGCTCGGTAGAAATTTGGCATTAATCCATTGGTTTAATATATTTAACGTACAAACAATAATTTTTTCTTGATATTTGTTTCAACAACAATAATAATAATAAATTCATTATTATAGATAAATTGAGTAAATTCTGAATTATGAAAACCTTTTTGCCTTTTATTTAATATTAAATTAATTTTTTCGTTATAAATCAGGATATGTACGATAATATCGATCAAGATAAAGGTAACGAAAAAAGATTAATTATCAAATGATGTCTTGCCTTATCACACTAATTAATATTAAAATAATAATGTTATTGGTATTATGGTAAAAGCGCAGAATTTTGAATTATAATCATCAGTTACCCAGATATTTTCCCTGGTTCAGTCATTCATCACCACTATTATTAATTGAAATAAGAAAATCCCTACTAAAAAAAATGTTCAATTTAAATACAATCTAGTTCAGTTATAACAATAGGTGTATTAATTACATTTTCTACCCCTCCTCCTCCCCCTCTTCTTCTTCTTGTCGTTGTTGTTGATGTGAACATGACTGTGACTGTTGCGGATATTCGGTTGTTTCAACTTCAATTTGTGATGGATCTGATGTCTCTATTGTGGTCACAACAGGTGACACGTCTGTTTCAACAAATGAATTAGTTATACTATCTCCATCTTCATTCCTTATTACTACCGTTATTACTTTAATAGTTATTGTTGTAATCTGTTTACTAGTACTACAGCCTGGTTCTGAACATATAGTGCATGGAGCAAATTTTATTGTAGTATTCTCGCCAGATCTTGAGGCTCCCTCTTCTTCTTCTTCTTCTTCTTCTTCTTGATGGTGGTGGTGATGGTTTGAAGCTTCTGTGGTGGTGTTCATGTGGTTCGACGATGAATTCTCTTCTAAATTATTGTCTTTATTAGTATGGTTGTTGGTAGTATTATTGTTATTATCGGAAGAAGGAATAGAAGACAAATCCACCATATTTTAAAGTTTTTGTTTGTTTTTTACTAAAAATTGATAGATTAATCAAAAATCTTTGCCATAAATGAAATGGATCTGCAACACACTCACGTGGCAACAATTTTCGTTCTAAGCAACATAGTACAGATGTAAAAGATAAAAAGATATTATTAAAATAATATAAATATATTAATAGTATGGTCATGAAACTATAATCACTGTTTTTAAACATGTTTTGACCCATATTCAAAAGAAAAAAAGATTATTGGTTAATCAGAATTAAGGTTGGATAAACCAGAATATAGCCTGATAAAATGTCTCGCCTAGCAAACGTCGACAACAAGTGACAAACACTTGGCGAATTTTGAGAAAAGTTCTTCTTTGAGATTTGCTAAAGAGAACGGCAAGATATTATTATATAAATAGCAGTTCTGCTGCAGATCGCGTGAAAACACTGAACGTAGTATAGTCATGAAAGGGAAATAAGTGGACTTTGAAAAAAATCTGTCCAGCTTCCTTAATAACAAGAGCAGAAACCTTTTATCTTTCATATAGTTGTTAAAAATCAGATATTGAATAATTGTTGGTAAGAATAATAATTACATACACATATATATGTTTCTGGCAGTTGGACGTTTATTTGGGTTAGCATCTATATAAAGGTTGGAGTATTATTTGAAAATCTGGTCTTCACTTTTTTACTTTACCATTACTATATAGCTACTGTAACGTCCAGGTTTGAACCATATGAACCATCAAATATTTGTTGCTTTTTAGTAGAAATTTTCAGTGTAAAGCTGCTGTCCATTTTGTAAGATCTTTTTCTCAAAGATATTTTTTAGATATATTGTAGTTGGGTGCATTTAGGGATGGGAAATTGCATGAAAATTTCAAACTTCATGCGCATGATGCGCACTGCTGATTTTTTTTTTTAAAAAAATTTTTAATATTATTAAAAAAAACAAAACAGATTTTAATCACTAACATTAGTCACTGATTCAGATGTATATACATCACTATCATGATTTTCACTTCACTAACATCATCTTCATTTTTATCATCTTTCTGTTCCTCATTATCATTGCCAGTATCATTAGTGTTTCCATTGACATTATCTTTTAATTTATTTTGATTTTTTGGATTTTTGTAATT